GACAGGTTTATTCTGCTCTGTATTAGTGGTAGTAAGAACACTTGAAGCACTGCATGCAGTTTTGGGCTGGTGACTTTCCTGGGATACAAACTCTGAACCAGGATCATTATTCTGAAAGCTGAGCACTAGAGAAAGTGCTGAAGGCCTAGGAATATTAGATCTAGTGAGGAAAGCTCAGGAAGACAGCTACCTTCAAATATCTAAGAGGCTCTCATAAAATGGGCATAGAATATGTGCTTAACAAGTTCTTACTGAAGGCAGAGACAGAGGAAGGGATCAGTTTAGCTTCCTGTAGTACCATTCAGATGAAGTAGGACCAAGAATGAGCCATGGGAAACAAACTGAGGCCAAATGCAAGTCCTTTTTACCTAATGAAAAATAAAATAAACTTTAAAGGTATATTGAAAGAAACAACTCAGATGTCCATCAATGGATGAATGGATAAACACACTGTGGCATATCTATTCAATGGAATATTATTTGGCCATAAAAAAGAATGAAGTACTGACACATACTACAACACAGATGAACCTCAAATATGTTATGCTAGATGAAAGAAGCTGGACACAAAAGGTCACACAATGTATGATTCCATGTATATGAAATATTCAAAATAGGTAAATCCACAGAGACAGAAAACGGGCTAGAAGGAGTAGGGAGTGATTGGCTTATGGGATTTTCTTTTGGGGTAATGAAAATGTTTTGGAATTAGGTAGAGATGGTGGTCACACAACATTATGAATGTATGAAATGCATTCTCACTTTAAAGTGCCAATGCATGCTAATTTAAAAAGGTTAATTTTATGTTATGTGAATTTCATCTAAATTAAAAAAAGATTTAAAAAGCACACTGAAAAAGAAGGCTAGCACCCGCTTTGTGGTAAGAAAAGCTGTACATAGAATTTAGTAATCTCTCTACATCAAAATCATAATGGAGAACTCCAAAAGACACTTCATGATAAAATCCCATTCTCTACTGGAGAATAGCCAATGACTAAGTTTCAAGACTTTCCATCACAGTTCCAAGGTTTTCTTCCTGCATGACTGACTCATGCTTACTGCCTTATGAAAACCACAATTATTTTCATGTTTTTGTCTTATACAGAAATAAGACACTGCTCTAGGTAAGTGAGGCAATATCCTCACCATCCTTAACCTGCTCATCAAGTCAACAATTTGTTCAGCTACAGCCATTTTGAACTGGTAACACACACTGATTATAAATTTATTATTTCCCTTCTCCCTAGAAGGACAGAAGTCCTGTATGGTAGACTTGTTCTGTTACAGAAGATTTTAACATAAGGATAATGTGAAAAATCCTAGGGGTGTCCCAAAGTAGGACTAGAAGTCATTTCACTGGGACAGCTTCCTGGGACAGGAGCTGTACAATTTCACTAATTATTTCTACCATGGCCCAGAGAGTGACATGTAGACATTTTCTCAGCTCTACATTAAGAATGGAAATGTCGATGAGAAAAAGTTTAATTTGGTCTGAAATCTTAGTTCTATAATGAAAGATTAACTTAAAAAATAAAAACTAAAGCTTTAGTTTTGGTGAATTATGGAATCCCATGTGGGAGGATTCCATACACATATGGCCACGTTAAAAAGTCAAAAGTATGTCTTTAAAGTAAAGCAATACTGAAATATTTATTGCCTAACTTGGATAAGTCCTGCCTCTATCACCACCGTGAAAAAGTTACTAAATACTATTTACTTAGTAACTTAAATATGCATCAAAGTTTTCATTCCCATATTAGAATGCAATTCCCATATAGCACAGAATACCCAGAGAATATTTTGTAATAAGCAGCAACTTGTATATTATTAAATTCCCATGAGCCTAAAAAACTTTACTGATACACACACACACACACACACACACACACACATATATATATATACTTTTTTAAAGTATCTGAAAAGAAACAAGAGACAGACCTAAAACCCTGGGAACAAAACTGTCCCAGTTGTCTTCTCATAACTCAGGCAACTAAGCTAGAAGAGCCAGCTCTCATACTCCAAGTCAGTTCTGGAAAGTATTCAAGTCAACTGCAACAAGGACTAAATAAGAGTAGATTTATTATGTGAGGATGAGACTGGCACATTAAAAGGCTAGCACTTTACCATTAAACTTGAACAATGCAAAATCCCCACTAGTCTAATATTAGGAATGTCTGGTATTTTGTCCAAACAGACATTTACAAATGCCTATTTTTGCCCCAAGATATCAATTTTATATAATCTATGCTATGTTAAACTAGTTTTATAAATAAGGAAATGTTCTGTTCATTAATATGTCTCCAGCACCTAGCAAAGTACCTAGGATATAGTAAGTGTTTAATAAGTAATTATTAAATGAAAGTAACATGATTACAGCACCAAGAACACCACCAGACGAGCACAGTCCTACAAAACAGATACTTTGGAAAATCCTATGGTAATTACAGTGATACTGTCCATTGCACAACTGTTTTGGGAACTTCTCTAGAACTACCTCTGGAAAGATGCATATTTTTCCTCATACTAGAAAAGCCCAGGAACCTCACAAATAGAGTTAAGAAATTCCCCACTCATGACTAGCAACTCAAAAATGGAGTACAGAAGCATCCTGAGTCCCCCTGCCAAAGCCCCCCCATGAGGAATAGCTAAGGACAGTATCACCAACAAGGATGCTCTGAAATCAGTTAGTTCCAGAGGGTCATGTCACCAGAGGAACTAATTTATGAAAACCGCTTCCTGGGAAGAGTAGCTGATAGCCTTGGTAAATGCCTGCCTAGAGCATCACAATTTTGAGAAGGAAAAAAACAGGTCACTTTGAAATGCCTGTGTTGGTTGACTCATTAAAAAATGATAAATGATAAAAGACAACCTGATATATTAAACCACTACCAACATCATCAATGTTTATTGGAGGCTCAAAAATCTAATAGCTACACACTTTCCTTTTATCTTCTCTTACCAACAATGGAATCAAAATTGGCTGACTTTCTAAGAAGTAATTCAATTTTCATTGAACTTAGCTTGATAAGTTAGATATTTAAAAAGTCTCAAAGGCAGCATCAATCATGAAGCAAGGTGAAGAGCCTACAACTGGACTGATGAGTCACACTAAATATACACACTTTTGCTTTCTTTCTGCACCTGCTGATGCAAGTCTTGAGACTGACGTAAAAAGAATTCACTATGACAACTAATTCTCACATTTTCCACATTAAAAAAAATCTACATTCTACTTTGCTAATTATCAAAGGTATACAAAAATAAGGTAAGAAATATTTTATGCTTATGCTTATCAAATTCATTAAAAATAAACAAATGATAATGTCCAAATGTTGGAAAGGCTGTGGTAAAACTGGTATGCTCATAAAGTATTAGTGTATAGTGTAAGTTGGGATAACCCATTAGGAAAAGGGTTTGGCAATATCAATCATGATCATATTGTACTTATGCACTTCATTGTATACTGCTGATAAGAATTTATCCTAAATATTTCCAGTAAAGAAAAAAATCATTTAAGCAGAAAAATATTCATCACAAATTTTCCAGTAAACAGATATTGAAAAGTAGCCTAAAATGCTCGAGAGGTATGGTTAAATTTGTGTTTAAAAATTTCAGTGCTGGAAATGAAGTAGCAACACAGAAAAAGGCTTGGCAAAAGATAAACATGATACAAAAGCATATTTTCATTATAACTGCAACCCCGTGAAAAACACATATGGATATGCAAAAGGACAAAAGAATACAGTGGCAGCTATTTGGAGTTGCCAAATTTTGTGAAATGATGATATAGTATCTTAAAATTAAAATTAAAAGCCATTAGAATTTAAAATAAAATATTTTCAGCCAGGCACACATCCCTGTAGTCCCAGATACTCAGGAGGTTGAAGCAGGAGGATTGCTTGAGCCCAGGAGCTCAAGGCTATAGTATGCTATGATTGTACCTGTGAATAGTCACTGCACTCCGGCCTGGGCAACACAGCAAGACCTTGTCTCTTTGGGAAAAAAAAAAAAAAAAAACAGGAAAGAAAAGAAAGAAAGGAAAGGAAGGAAGGAAGGAAAAAAGAAAATTTTCTAAAACTAGCCTATATAATGAGCCCTTTCCAGTGAAAAGATCTGAAGTCAAAACTTGGTTACAGGACCCTGTCTCTGCATTTTAAAAAATAAGTAAATAAATAACAGTTTCCCAGGTCTTACCTTCTTTTCACCAATAATCTTACAAATAAATCTGCAAAGCAAGGCACATTATAATCCTGTACTGGCGGGACAGATTGCACATTATCACATTGCAGGTTCTGAGAAGATCTGCAATAAACTTATTTAACTTTGGCTAACCCAGCGTTTGCTAAACATACTTAATCATAAAACCCTCTATGCTCAGAAGACCTGCAAACATTCTTCTCACTACAGCTTGGGAAGTACTGCTTGGGCAGATGATGCTCAAAGAGGGCAAGAGAGGGAAGGCATCTTAATTATCAGAGAGGTGTTTCCAGACTCTACCTTCGCAGTTGGGAGTCACTAATGACAGCATGCCTAATCCCTCAGGTGTATGTATTAAGGTAGAGAGAAAGCTTGAGAACGACTGATCTATGCAGCTACTTATACACAACTCAATCCTACTGAGGGGAAAAAAACACAAAATAAACCCCTTTGGGAGGTTTTATGGCTCTTACAAAAGGGGTTCTGATCCAGTCCAAAGATGATAGAAGTTTCTAGAAAGGAATGGCATCTTTCTTCTGTAATTATGAAGAAGCAACCAAAAAAATCTGTGTAATCCATGTGAGAACTAGTCAGTGTCCCTTTTAGATATAAATATAGTATTGCTCATGATACACACAAAAATAAAGTGTATATCTTTTTGAAGTCTGGATATTTAAAAACTAGTATATACATGTGGTAGTAGGGTGTCTCCACAGGCCAAATACTCAGTACAGTACCTACTTCCCAGAGTTAAGCCTTCCACCCCTTCTACAGGATTCTTTAGCATATGACACTTTTACCTCTGGTCTAAGTGTAGCTTTCATGCAGGCTGGGCAAAGAGGTCCATTTCGGGAGAAGTAAAGGGGAAGGTGCCGAGTTCGATTGCGACAGGTTGGCTCCTCACATATCAACCAGCCCTGGAGAGAAAAAGAAAAAAACTTCAGTCTTACCATCACCATTGACAAATACAAATAATGAATCTTTTTGTTATCAAGATAGACTCATTTTATTCAAACATTCCTTAGCAATTCTGGCATAGCTCTCTCCAGTTACCTTTCTTTCCTAACATGTTAATTAGATCTACGCTCCAAACTTATAAGTTGGGAAACCCATCAAGTTAAAAAACAAAACAAAACATGAGATGTTATTTACTGTTCTTAGAAGAAACACTCTCCCCCACTCACATACATCAAAATCTCCCAGTAAAAACTTCTATTACATGCAGAATGTAAACCAGTGTGTCTTAGTTCATTAGTAAAGACTGTATCACATAGAAATGAATGACCTTCCAAATAGCTGAGTGACTGTTGGCTAGTTACTTAATTGAGTTTAAGAGAGTTTCCTTCTCTATAAAATGGGTACAAGAGTACTTAACTTACAGGGTTGTTGTGATGATATAATACACTTAAAGCACTTAGAACTATACGTGGTACAAAAGAGACACTTAACAAATGTAAGCAATTATTTCATTTAAAATTAAAACAGATTCTCCTATACATGTTTTCTCAAAGCATAAAACTGGCCACAATGCTTTCAAGGGACAACTTCAACTGACCACTATTTTCCAGGTTTGAAATAGCCATTGCCCACTTCTCTGTCCTTTAGAACCTTCTTCTCACTCTCTTTCTTCAGTTACTCTCTCTTGCTGTTCTTATTTGAATGTTCTCATAGTGATGTAATAACAATATGCGTGCCATCTTAAATCAGCACTATGTTTACTATAAAGCACATCTGTTAAACAAGGAAGACAAGACTTCACAAATACATTAAGCAAAGCTCAGATGTTTATACTAAGGCATGCAGGGTCGGTGGGCTTTGGTGCTACATGTACTGCTAATAAGCATAAGGCAAATGTAGGGTGAGGTGCTGAAGTATAAAGGTGAACAAGGTTTCTCTTGTCTCCTGGCATTCCTTCCTAGGGAGCCACAGGCAGGAACCTGACTATCTGTAGATCCTGGAGCATTTTGAGATATGGCAACTTCTGAACGAGTCTTGAAGAATGAGTGGAAGTTAGGTGGGTAGATAAGGCAGGAAAGACAACTGAGGCAGAAAGAACAATGCAAGCCAAAGAAAGGCCAGAAAGAACTATGCTGTGATATTAAGAAAGGGATCAATAACATATATAACCCCATTTCCTATTTGTAGACTGAATAACCTGTTGGTCTTTTCCCCCTAGATAAGAGCAGTACATATACAGGAGTGTTGCTTCATTATGCTAGGCACTTTAGTCTGCCACTTAGTAGTGTTCCCATGTGGTATTAATCCAAAGCTGAGGGATGCCCTCACCCACTGCTGTGCTGCTTGACCTCATTCCTCAGAATAGGCTCTTCATGAAAGTAGCTACAACCAAACTCAAGGGAAAGCACCAGGAATCAGTTCTAGCTCTGTTTAAGATTATCACACAAAGGCAAGAGTGCATTGTAGAACTTTTTGACTAAAAAAAAATGTATGCTACCTCTAAGAAATATAAAATTCATCTAGTTGATACAGTCACAGTAAGCTTCATTTCTACCTTCATTCAAAGGCTAAACTATTTTAAAATTTTTCAGGTAGAGGGTCTCAACAAGTCTTTAATGAAAGTTCTAATATATGACCAGAATTACATTAAATATTGTGGGGAATAGGCACAGGAGCCCCAGGCACAGAGTTTCAGGAAATCACAATCTAAATAGGAAAGCAAGTTCCACACTCACAAAGACTAAAAGCAATTCAGTATGGTTTGGCTATAAGAATCAAGTTGTGTGGTATCAACTATAAATGCTAACTAATACAGAGGAGAGACAGAGACAAACTACTACTGAGACAAACTACTTAGACCACTACAAAAGACCATGAACCAGAATAAAGAATCAGTGGTTCTGAGTCACAGGCAGCTGTTTGTTCCAATTCTTAGGACCTGTTATCACATTTTCTTGATTTGAAGAGACATTTATATTCACATTTTAATACTTCTGAAACTCAGACGCATTTATAACAGGCATGTACAGTTTTATGACTTATTTATGTTTCCTTAAAAAAAGCCGTTAAGTCAAAAGTGCAGCTCACAACCGGACCCTTAGAATTAAAGAAACAAGACACTATGGTTTAGTCTTTTCTAGGCATGAGAGAAACAGTGGGGAATATTGGAGCTGACAGTAACAATAGGTATTCAATTTTAAAGGTACCCTATAAACATTAAAGGCGAGACTAGCTGTTTCTGGAAATACCCATTTAGGCATATTAATAAAGGAAACAGGAGAATCCAAGCAAACCATGTATGAAAAATTCAGGACTGGACCACTCCACTATCATTCATTTGGATTTGTTACAGTATATTTGATATCTGAGGCTTTACCTGCTTTGGAATATGTAGTCAGTTAACATTGCCAACCATAGTTGTAACTCATACACTTCTAAACAAAATTAAAAAATAAGCAAGCAGACAGATAACAACTATCATGTTTTGAGACAAGAAATTAGTAAATACCAGAATACAACCTGGAAGTTAAAATTATTTTTTAATTTTTAAAATATAATATTGAAAAACCTAGCGTTCTTTTTCAGATGTTTTTGAAACTGATTCCATCAATTTACTACAACTTCGTTGCTCACTGGGGAGCTGCCAACCAGGGACATGCTAAGTTGTCATCTCACCTGTTTTTAAAGCAAACACCTAACTCTATCTCTGACAGAGTTACTAACTAAATGTCCTTTCAAATCATATAGAAAACAGATAATATAATTTGTCTAGACTTCCTACCAGTTATAATTAACATTAAAGAGGTCTTTTTTTCTTTGTCACCTCTCTATTCAGAGCTTATTTGGGTTTGTTTGTACTTACTATCTGTTAATCTCCCTTTACAAATGACAACAATAACTAGTGCTATTATGCACGGAAATTAAACATGCTGGTAACTGTGTGAAGGGAACTGGAGCTGAAAAAAATATTAGAAGCCTGTAACTCTTTATGCCTCTTGTTTTATTTTGATAATTAAGCTTTTGGTCATGGTGTATTTTAAACAAAACTCTTCTATGGAGGAAATAGGCCCTAATCATATTCAATATATGCTTTGCTTCAATTCAATTTTGTCAAGTACATTTTGTTTAACCCTTTGCTCCCCCAACAAATGTTAACCAATTATGCTAAATCTAACTTCCAATGAATATTTGTATTGTTAAAAATAAATATGCCAGGCTTGAAAATATTCCATGATGAGGCAAATCTTATATTACCAAATCTCATAGTGAATTTTGTCTCTCAAGGATGATAAAAAACAAAGCAAGTGAAAATATTAATATTGTATAAATTCACTTTGAATTATCACTCTCAAAGATAAAACAAAACTTATTTTCATTTCTCATTTTGGGAAATAACATAGAGCCTATACAGCCCAAGGCTACCCTGACAAGTCAATGGAAGAAGAAATTTTTAATAAAGAGTATACTTCCTTGGAAATACAACCTATAAAAAGGTTTGGGATTAATGAAAACCTCCAGAACCACTTTAAGGATTTCTGCTATCCAAATATGTCATTTTATTATGTAATGCCACATGGAAACGATATAACCAACAGGAATAAGGCCATCAAGTTTTCGATTGCCTAGCTTAACCACGTTTATAAGTAGAAAGTTCAAAAGAGGTGAAGCCAGCTTGTCCAACAGCAAAACAAACTTTTACCAAAATATGCCAAGGTCTATCACCTGTTGCTTTAATCTCCACATCACTAATTCCTTAAAATCATTGTGTACAAAATTGTGTCAGATGCTGATTGGTTCTGATTGCTAAATTATATTTCTGAGATCTCAACTAAAATGGCTTCTGTCTGCACATGCTAAAAAGGGATCGATTTCCACTTGCAACTGAGGCGTTCCTGGTAGTCGCACCTTAAACACAAACTGTTATTCGTTTGTGTACATTTATATTTTTAGAAGGATACACATGCAGAAATCATCCAGATCTGGAAATGTGGAACATAGGAGACCTTCAAAAATATCTTTTGAAAAATGAATAAATAGGAGCAATAAAAATAAAAATGTGGAGCAAGTTTATAAAAAATAAGAAAGTGTCTAAAATTCACAGAAGAAAAAAACTCACAGTGGTTCGCAAACTCGAGTCAAATACATGGTGGGTCCTTCTCTCATTCCCAATAGGTCATCAAGTCTATCCAGTGGTCTTTCCTTTATAGTTCCAGTACCAATGACCTCACCCAAGCTCAGACCTCAAAGTTGTTCCACTGTAGTAGCCTCCTCCTCGGTTTCCCTGACTCCATTCTCTCTTCCCACATCCAATGCAGAGTTGCCAAGTCTAGTTTCCTAGGGCTCTCTGCTCCCACCCCCAACTGTATACCTTCCATTGACAATTAAGAACAAACTCTGATCTCATCCTGTCCCCCCTTTCTCATCATTCTCTTACACAAACTCTTCGGCCCACTGAATTGGTTTTCTCACAGTACTTACTACATTTTGCTTGTTTGCATCTTCTCATTGCTCATACTGGAGAATCTCTGCCTAAAATGCCCATTCCTTGAGTATCAGTTCCATTCCTCTTGAAATTTTCCCAACCCACAGGGACTTCTCCCTCTATTCTAACACTAGGCACACACTGCTTTGCCATGTCTCTTAACCACCTTATTTCACCATCTTGTTTTACCTACCTAACTGGATGGCCGGTCCCCCTGGGAAATAATCTACTTTGGATTTGGTAGCATCCTCTCCAGTCTATAGCACATACTCAATGAAGAATACAGAATTGAGGTTATGAAAAACAGCATCTGAGTAGGGTTTCTTCGCTCCCATTTATTAATGGGTAATTTTGGGTAAGTCATTTGAACCTCTCTCTGAGCTTCAGTTTCCTCATCTATAAAATAGGAGGTAATAATATTTACTCTACTAGGGTAATTCAGAGGATCAAATAAAACCCACAAAAATGTTGAACAGG